ATTGGGTGCGTCTGGAGGTTCCGGAGTCTTCCTGGCTGGCAGACTGCCCATTCTTTTTTTGGGGACGTGGTATGGGTTCTGTCAGACCCACACGCTTGAGTGGTGAGAAACTTCTACAGTTCTGCAGGTTTACCTGGGGGGCGAGTTTAAGCACCTTAATGCTTGCTTGCTTGTTTGCCCCTGTGCTTTCTCAGGATGTTGGCTTTGTGCAGCTGCACATGCAGGTTTCGTCTAGTTGTCGTTCTGTGTCAGACTTGTTGGTTCTCTGGGGTGGCCGTTCTTGGTCTTCTCAGAAGGATCGTGACAGAGCTTGGGGTTCCGCTGGTCGAGGTGGGCCAATTGGTGCCAGCTTCTGAGTCGACATTGCCTTTGGAGCCAGCGTCGTCTGGTTGGCGCAATGATCGCTCTGTTCATCGGCCAGCTTCTCGTAAGGGGCGTCGGCCCTTTTGTGGTTCACTCCACTGACGGGTCGATGCAAACAGAGGCTCACTCTGCTCGTGCTTGGGCCCACAATTTGCGAGCGTTTTCAGTCGTGTCCTCTGGACTATGGTGGCATTGGGCGGCTCCTCTCCACCCCTTCGGGGAGTTCGGGGCTGGCTGGGCAGGCTTCTTCCTCTGCGCTTCATCAGGTCATTTCGGAGTGGGTGCGGTTTTGCATGATCGAAACAACCTTGTCCCTCAGGTGGGTTTCCTGAATGTTTCCAGTGCCAAAACAGGACTGTGTGGATCTGAGGTTCATTCTGGACTTGTCCCATCTGAATCCCTGGATTCCTTGCCCCTCCATTCAGAGTACCACTCTGTCTTGGGTCTGGCTTCATTTGGAGCTGGGTGCCTGGATTGTGTCCTTGGACCTCAAGGACGAGTATTGGCACGTTTCTATTCATCCAGGGTTCAGGGACTGGTTAGGTTTCATGGTGAGGCATCAGGCTTACAGCTTTCATTGCCTTCCTTTTTGCTTGAATCTGGCACCGCTCGCATTTTCATGAGTTTTACCTGGGTCGCGGTGTCGCGTCTGCATCTGCAAGGGGGTTTGGGTCCTGGCCTACCTCAATGACTGGCTGGTGTGGGGTCCCAGTTGTTCTGCTTTTTTGCTTGCCAGGGATGTGGTTCTTTCCCAGCTCACCAGGTTTAGGTTCCTGGTGAACTGGTGGAAGTCCCATCTGGTTCCGTCCCAGGTTTGGACCTGTCTTGGTCTTGTTTGGGGTTTGGAACTCTCGGATCGCTTCCATGTCTCTTCCTCTGGAGGCATTGTTGCAGCTGCTGTCCTGCCTTTGGCTGTTTTGGGGGGGTCCTGGGTCACTCAGCAGTTGCTTGAGCAGCTGTTCGGGAGTTTGAACTTCGCCCTGATGGTCTACACGGTGGGTCAGGTTTGGCTTTGGCATCTGTTCTGGTTCCTTCAGGGACGCCCCTTGTGCTTCTCTCGCGATCGCTGGGTTCGTATTCTCTGGGGACTTGAGTTGGTTGCTGTGTTGCCGGTTTCCTCTTCAGGTTTTTTTGAGTTCATTACCTTGGCACCTAACCGAGTCCTCGCTCGATGTGTTCACTGACATTTCTCAGCTCAGGCTTTGTGACCAGTACTCACCAGGTCAGCCAGGGCTGATGAGGTACATCTTTCTGTCGGCCTTACTGCGTGGTGTGGGAGTTCTCGACTGTTTGGCTGTCGCTTTGGAGGGTTCAGGTTGCTCGGGGTTTGACCATTCGGACTGTTCAGTGATGGTTCATTACCTGAACCACAGTGGTTCCGTTTGGTCATTTCCTCTTTGGGTCTGATTGTTTCGAGTGACTCGTCTGTTGTCTTCTCGAGGTTTGGCTCTCCATGCGGTTCATATCCGGGGAGTGTCCAACGTCCTGGTGGATGGCCTGTCACGGTTCATTCCCCTATCCACAGAATGGATGGTTGATGCCAACTCTTTCTGATGGCTCTACCAGACATACAGACTCCCGGACGTGGACCTTTTCATATTCGTGTGGTCTCGGCATCTCCCAATCTACATGGCGCCCTTTCCCAACCGTGATGCTGTCGCTGTAGACCTGTTTCGGCAGAACTGGTTGAGGTGGGGTTACCTGTACCTCTTCTCCCCTAGTCCGGCTGTTGCTTCGGGTACTGGCTCGGTTGGAGTCCTACCAAGGGAGAGTAGTCCTCGTGGGCCTCTTGGTGGCTGACCCAGCCTTGGTTCCAGGCACTGCTTGCTGGGTGTGTGAACCCGGGACATTTTCCACGGCTCCATCTCTTCCAGCAGGTTGGACTGGTCAGGTACATGGCTGGTTTGGTCTTCTCCACTCATCGTGTCTGGTCTTTTCGAGGCGGGGTTTATCACAGTGTGTATGGTGATCAGGTGGCTTCATTGATGGTGTCCCACCTGAGAGCTTCAACTATGCGACAATATGAAGTTTCCTGGTGTTCTTTCCGACATTTTCTCTCTCTTCGTAGGTTATCTTCTGTTTCTGATCGGGTTGTCTAGTCCTTTCTACCTTGGCTTTTTCAGGACCGTCATTTGATGCCTAATACTGTCACCTTGTATCGTGCAGCATTGGCGGAGCCACTCCAGCTTGTGTTTGGGGTGAATGTCACTTCTGCTCTGTTCTGTAAGCTTTCTCGTGCTTTGTTTTACCTCCGGCATGCTCATGCGCTGCCTGCGGTGTCCTGGTCTTTGGACAGGATGCTCTCCTATCTTTCCTCTCCTTGGTTTGTGGTGGCCCCTTTGGTTCAAGATTGTTTTTTCAAGGCTCTATTTCTGTTGGCACTGGCCTCAGGGGGGTCGGGTCGGTGAGTTTCATGCTCTCCTCCAGCACAGGGATTTCTGCTCTTTTTTGTTCCTGGTGGTCGGTTTGTTCGGTTGCAGCCTTCTTCTTTTCTGGCAAAGAACGAGACTGCTGCTTTCCAGGGAGGTCATTGATGCTTGGTTGGTCAGGCCAGGGGTGCATCATGTGTTGTGTCTGGTTGCGACTCTTCGCTGTTATCTGCGCACTTCCACTTCAATGGCTGGGGATGCGCTTTGGGTTGATCCGGTTTTCCTCGTTCCCTGTTCCAGGGCTTGGGTCTCCCAGGTCATCCGCAGGGTTATTATCCTCATGCCCATAACATTAGGAAGTTTGGTACATTGGCTGCCGTGTTTGGCAACATGTCCTGGGCTGATATTTGGGCACAGGGATTTTGGAGGTCGAAAAGGATACTAGCCGCCCGTTATTTTGTTAATGTTCCTACTCCTGGACGTTCCCGTGTTGCTTTGGGTTGTAGGTTACAACCAGTAGTCTCGACTTCGCGTTGAGGAGTGTGTGGCAGCCTCCTCCCGGGTAAGTCCCTCAATTTTCCTTATCTTTGGTTATACACATCCAGGGAGCCATAAGGACTTTCCACACGAAACTAGCATTAAATGTAATGAAATGCCATTTTCTGGGTGAGCCCTGGAGGCTCCCTGGCAACCCTCCCTCCCTCCGGTCAGCAGTTTTTTGCGTTGTTGATGCTTAACTTCTGAACTGGTGTTCTAGGTAGCCGGCACGGGGAGTGCTGCGTGGACGAACGACGCGACAGTGGAGTGTAACGTTTGCTCGTTTCCTTGGGATTGGAGGGAATTCTGATTCTCTTTTCGATTTTTAGTTGCAATTTTCTTACCATGTGGGGTTTATTTTCTTATCCCTACCTTTCTGGGTGCCTAACCTTGGTCGATGGCAGATAAGGGAAACCCCCCAACCACAGGGGGATGGGGTTTCCAGGGGCATTGCTCCCTGCACCTCTCTGAGAGGGGCCAGGTTCTGGCTCTTGGTCCCCGGTAGGCTGAACTCCATAGATTAATGCCCCAGTCTAATGTACCACATATTAGCCCAATAGCTCCACGGAATCTCCGGGGCTCACCCAGAAAATGGCATTTCATTTCATTCAATGCTGGTTTTTTACATTTTTGCAAAGCCACTGACACACAGCATTTCCTGCAGGTCCTTAATCTAACTTATTTATTTATTTATTTATTTATGCATATACAAGAATGTACATAAGGAATGTGAGGATACAATTATGGTAATTACAGTCTTGTAAAGCCACTAGCACGCGCAGCGTTTCGGGCAGATTAATCGCAGGTTCATCAGGTAAGATGAAAAGGTACATTGTAGCAAGGTTTTATATTGACAAATAACTACAATATAAATTGGCAGGGGTGATTACGCTAGTAAAGATGTCTCTTGAATACTAATACATGTATTGGGGAAGTGGGTAGTGCAAGATACAGTGTGAGTTTGAAGCACAAGGTGATGAAACTATGAGGATGAAGTTAAGTACGTTTGGGTTTACTTTTGAATAGGGACAATTGAATAGGCTGGACAATTTTTTAATTCATTGGGGAGTGAGTTCCATAGACTGGGTCCTTTTATTTGTATGGAGTGTTTGAACAGATATAGTTTCTGGTGATATCAGAGATGTATTTCTTTCTGGTGTGGTGTTCATGGGCTCTATTACACCTATCAAGGAAAAGTTTCAGATCAAGATTACTATTCAGGAACAATGTTTTGTACATGTATAGAGCACATGAGAATGTATGGAGTGAGTGTATGATTACCTGATTTTACCTGATTTCTATTTTCCTTCAAGCAGACACGTGTGTTATTGAACTTATCCTTTCTGAAGGGTTTTGTTGTTGTTTTGGGTTGACCTCTGGTCCCCTGAGCTTCCCTTGCCTCAGAGAGACCCAGATTTTGATCCTGGTTCATGGTAGGCTTTGGTGGGTCTCCTCTGCCTGGTTCAATTTCCTTAGGCTTGGTAGGACCAGTAGGACCAGGTCCTACTACAGGACCCCTCAGTAGCTTAACGGAAGCTACTGAGAGGCTAACCAGAAAATGACATTTCATTACATTCTATGATAAATTTTGTCTCTATCCTGAGGTACGATGGCCTGTGGACAACCTCTCTTGCTTGACTACAGTCGAACATATTATTGTGTAAATAACATTTTAAGTCAGATGTGTAATAATTTCATGGAATTCAAAATATATGCACTTTGTTTGAACAGATACCTTCCACATCAACCCTCAGCTCCACCTGATCCTGAGTGACATGGAGGAGGTGGTTATCTCCCTTAACCAACATTCTGTCATGGAACCCAAGGTAAATTCATAGAATAGCTTTTACTTATTAAAGGATATCCATATACTCGATAGCAAATTTGTTAGTGAGACAATGGGTAGCTGAATATATTTAAGAAATAACAACAAACTTTGCTGTAACCCTTCAACTGCATGTTACAATCAGAGATGTGCTCACCATTACTCCATCAGCTGTACATCACAATCAAGGTGCATTAAAGTATACCTTTCTTAATGTTCATACATCATAATAATATTATTATCTTTCATCTCCATATTGGATGCTTATGAGATTCTAGAGTCTTCCTGACTAGCAGGCGATCATCCTTTGGGACTTGACATGGTTTTCGTTATTGCTGTATGTTCAAGTGGTGTGTGGTGGCGACTGTGTTTAAGGTGTTTTTGTAGTGTCCATCTTTTGGGCCGCTCCATGAATGCCTGTTGGCTCCCGGCGTTCATGGGATGTGAGCTTGGTGCAGCTCTATGCCCAAGTGCCTTTGCTGTTAGTGACCTTTATGTTGGAGGACTTTTGTGCTCGCTCACACTTGGCCTTGGTCATGCAATTTCTGGACCTTGTGGAACTCCCTTTTTCATGGCTCCATATGGTAAGCAGAGCCAAGGGCTTCATTGAGGCTGTTGGCTCTGGGTCTTGTGTGGGTGTTTTGGTGTCCGCAGTGGCTTTGTCCAAGCTGTATGCTCGCATGCTCCAGGATTCAGTAGCCGCATTCTCCACTTCCCACCTTGAGTGTTTACAGTCTGTGTTAGCCCAGTCTTTAGATTCAGCTTCGTCTTTGGCCATCTTGTCCACCTCCCCCATTTTCACCTCTCCTCTTTCCTGTGAGTGTTGTCTAATGCGTCTGCCTCTTGTTTGCCAATTTCCACCTTATTGTGTTTCATGGTTTTTGTTCTTGATCTTGGAGGTGGTCGAGTAAGGTTTGACTTTTGCCTGCTCTATGTCAAGGTAGGGCCTTGGAGTTTAACTCTTTGTCGCATGTGTTTCCCATGGCCGGTTTGTCTTCTAGTCGTCACTATGCTCGTATTTTGCAGAGGGCTCCTGCTTGTCATGGTTTACGCCGATCGTTTTGCAGTTTTGCATAGTTCCCGCTCTGATGGGGCGGTTGGGGGCAGCTCGCCCAGTTTGCTATCTCTTGGGCCAACGATTTAGTTTTTTTTTTTTTGGGTAGTTTTGCAGTCCTGTGGTGGAGTTGGTTCGTCACTCTTCACTTCTGGGGAGTGGGGCGTTTGGGCAGGCCTCTTCTGCTTGCCTGTGTTGTCATTTCATAGTAGGTTGCTTCTAAAGTGGTCATAATGACCATGTCTCTTCGGCACGTGTCCCGTCTCCTCCCTGTTCTGAAACAGTACTTGGTGGCACTCCGGTTCATCCTTAATCTATCAGTATAGAGCCAGTTCGTGTCTTGCCATGTGCCAGATGACTACTTTAGCCCAGGTTTGTCTTGGATTAAAGGCAGACATCTGGTTTGTTTCACCAGACCTCCAGGATGCAGGCTGGCACATCCATATTTGTCCAGGTTTCAGGCATTATTTAGATTTTATTGTGGGGCATCATGCTTATCACTTTCAGAGTCTTCCCTTTGGTTTGCATCTGGTTCCCCATGTTTTTGCCAGTATGACACTGGTCGTGGTGACGAGTCTTTGTTTGTTGAGGGTTAGTGTTCTGCCCTACCTTGACGACTGGCTAGGTGGGCATTGTTCTTTCTTTCTTGGAACTAGTTCTTTCCCTAGTTTTTAATTGGCACTTAGTGTAGTTACGCATCTTTACTGGATCTTGGTGACCTGTCTGCGTCTGCTCGGGATTCGGCATCTGGCCTACCTTGTCGACTGGCTGGTGTGGGCTCCCAGTCAGTTAGCTTGTCTGCTCGCCAAGGGTGTGGTTCTTTCTAGATTGCCGGGTTCGGATTCCTGGTGATCTGGAGGCCACTCCATCTGGTTCTGTCCTGGGTTCAGACCTGGCTGGGTCTTGTTTAGGACTCTTGGACTGCTTCTTTGTCTTTCCCTCCAGAAGCGTTGCTGCAGCTATGGTCCCATCTTTGGCTGTTTATGAGGGGAAGTCCTGGGTCACTCGGTGGTTGCTCAAGTGGTTGTGCAGGAGTTTGAACTTTACCGTGCTGGTCTGCCCGTAGGGTCAGGTTTGGTTTCGGTGTCTGTTCGGTTCCTTCGGGGACTCCCCTTCCGCCTCTCAATCGTTGGGTTTGTCCACCGAGGATCTTGTGTTGGTGCTGCATCACTGGCTTCCTCTTTGGGGTTCTCGGGGTTTCGTGCCTTGGCGTCTCCCCGAGCTTTCGCTCGATGTGTTCACAGACGGGTCATCTCTCGGCTAGGGCTTTGTGGCCAGTGCTCACCAGGCCGGCCAGGGATGGTGGAGTCTGTCCGTCCGTTGGGCTCACAGCACGGTTCCGGAGTTCGTGGCTGTCTGGTTTGTGCTTTTGGAGGATTCGGGTCACTCGAGGCTATCCCATCCGGCTCCATTCGAAGTGTTTTTCGGTGGTTCATTGCCCGAACCACGGGGATTCTCTTAGGTCCTTGACCTTTGGGGTTGGTCCCTTTGAATGCTTGTGGGCTGGATCCCTGGTGTTTGGCTAGCTGTACATTTCATGTCTGGGGTGTCCTACGTCCTGGCGGACGACCTGTCTCAGTTCATTCCTCTGTTCACAGTTTGGCCAGTCGTCACCAACTCATTTCATAGGCTCTGCAGGACGTACGGACTCCTGGACATGGACATCTTCGCGTCGGTGTGGTCTCGGCATCTCCCATTCTATATGGTGCCCTTACCCGCCTGTGAGGCGTTCACGGTGGATGCCTTCGGCAGAACTGATCGAGGTGGAGTTATCTGTTCCTCTTCTCCCGGTCCAGCTGTAGATGGGTTCTGGCTCGGCTGGAGTCCTTCCCAAGGAGAGTAGTCCTCGTGGTCTCTTGGTGGCCGTCCCAGCTTTGTTTTCAGATGCAGCTTGATAGGTGTCCGAACCCGGGGTGTTTTCCGCGGCTCCAGCTCTTTCGGCAGGTCGGATCGGTCCTGTGTGTGACTGGTTCGGTCTTCTCCTCGACTCTTCGTGTCTGCTCTGCTGACGCAGGTGTATCACCATCTGTATGGTGATCAGGAGACTTAGTTGATGGTGTCCCACCTGCAAGCTTTGTCTCGGCGACAGTATGACGTTTCTATTCGACATTTTCTTGCTCATCATAGGTTGTCTTGTCCTTTCTTGGGTTTTTCAGGACTGTTAATTGATGCTTCTTACTGTCGCCTCGTATTGTGCAGTGCTGGCAGAGCCACTCCGGCTTGCGTTCGAGGTGGACGTCACATCCGCCCTGTTCCATACGCTTCTCGTGTTTTGTTTCACCTTCGTCCTGTTCATGCGCCGCCTGAGCCGTCCTGGTCCTTGATCAGGGTGCCCTTTTATCCTTCCTCTCCTCTGTGGTAGCCCCTTCGTTTCAAGATTGTTTTTCAAAGGCCATACTTTCTTGGCATTGGCCTCTGTAAGTCGGGTCGAGGAGCTTCTGACTCTCCTCTGGCGCAGAGGTTTCTGCTCTTTTGGTACTGGTGGTAGGTTTGTACGCTTGCAGCCTTTCTCCATCCTTCTGGCGATGGTAGAGACGGCTGCTTTCCAGAGGGGTCCTTGGGTTATTGATGCTTCGTTGGTTCAGCCGGGGGTGCGACATGTGTTGTCCGGTTGCGGCCATCGCCGCTACCTGCATGCCGTGGCTGGGGATATGCTCTGGGTTGATCCGGTTCCCCTCGTTCCCTGTTTCAGAGCTCGGGTCTCCCAGGTCGTCCGCAGTTTTCTTAAGTCTACCAGTCTGCGGTCTATCCTTGTGCCCATGCCGTTCGGACGTTTTCAGCTTTTGCTGCCGTGTTTGGTGACGTTTTGAGCTCATTTCGGGTGCAAGGATTAGGGGGTCGCACAGGTTCCTGGCCACCCATTCATTTGTGAACGTGTCTGCTCCTGTGTGTTCTTGTGTTGCCATGGGTCGCAGGTTGCTGCCTGTTGTCTCAACTTCGCGTTGCAGAGTTTGGGGTGGCTGCCTCCCGGGTCAGCCCTTTCTTTTCCTTCTCTTTGGGTATGAAGCTCCAGGGAGCCATAGGGGCTCCCCACAGAAAACCAGCGTTGAATGTAATGAAACGCCATTTTCTGGGTAAGCCTCGAAGGCTCCCTGGCAACCCTCCCTCCCACCGGTCGGCAGATTTTTCTCGTTGGTTGAAGCTTAGCTTCCGAACTGGTGCTAGGCAGCCGGCGCACTGAGGTCCAGGGCCCCCCTCCCGGAGCGGGGAGGGCTGTGCGGACAATCGGCGTGGCAGTAAAGTGTGATGTTTGCTTGTTTGCTTGGGATTGTAGGGAGTTTCTACCTCTCTGTTCAGTTTTTTACCATGTGGGGTTTTTGTCATGCCTACCTTTCTGGGTGCCTAACCCCGGTCGATGGCAGATAAGGAAAACCTCCAATTACGGGAGTTTTCCAGGGCTACTGCTCCCGGAAACCTCTCTGAAGGAGCCAGGTTCTGGCGCTGGTCCCTGGTAGGTCTGAACTCCATGGCTAATGTCCCGGTCTAATATAACAGACATTAGCCCGATAAGCTCCAGGGAGTCTCTGGGGCTCACCCAGAAAATGATGTTTCATTACATTCAATGCTGGTTATTTAGTGCAGTACATAGAATGAAAAATAAGTTATTCAGTTACTTTTAATAGTCGGGTACAAAGTTCTGTATTTCACATGCTAGACATATACCGATCTGTCCCTTTATCCACAAGTTAAATATACAGTTCTCTGTCACTTGGGTTATCATTAATTAAACTATTTTATATGTTCTGTAGTTCATCTGATAAACAATTTGAAATTTCTTCTTTTTGCAGGTGATTGGTTTCACAGCCTATCCTCTCTCCAAAAGTGGTCTTGACTCGATTAGTAAAGCTTTCTTCAAAAAGAATAAATCACTCGTCAACTCACAGTACACTAACAGTAGACAAGTAAGTTATTTTTTTTTTTATTTTACCCATTGTTAGATGTTTGCTCTTTGATGGTTTACAAATCATATTTCAGTCAAGAATCACACTGGTGTAAAATTCAAGCATAGAATTAAATAAAATGCCCACAAAGCACAGAGTTTGAAGACCATTCTTGAGCCCTTCCCTAAAGACTCCATGAAACAAACAGTCCAGAAAACTAATGCAGAAAGCTTGGGAACTCTGAACACACCACTCAGAAGCCCTGGGCAAACATCCTGGGAATCAAAGACACACACACACATCTAGGACAAGTGATCAGCAGCACCTGGGAAAATGGCCCAAGACCAGAATAAACATCCCAGAGCCCCAGAGCATCTGCACCACCCATCGAGCCATAAACATAGGGCTCATCAGAAATGGTCATTGAATATGAATATTAAGCCAAGACATGGTAAAGATGAATCAAGAAAATCTTTTTGTCACTGGAAAGAGACTGGACATGACCCCTCAAAGAATTTACCACCACACATACGCTCCTGTCCAACATTTCATGAATGTGGGTACTGAGCAGTGGAGTAAACAGCTGCACAGTACTCAAGGACACCCAAAGAAGGGAAGAAAACCATATGAAACTTCAGGTGTGTTAGGATTAAGGTATTTTGTTAAGTACTACATAGGTTAGGTGCATAATGTTCTGAGCAGATGCTCTTTTGTTTTATAAGCATTGTAAATAGTAAGTCAGGAAACCCCATACCCGGTGACATCATTGTTTGTTGTTGTGGAATTAACGCCATGTGGAGAGCATGTTCACCACATCATTACCAAAGTACATTATTTTACAGAACTGTACCATATCACCCCCCCCCCCTCTTTATCCCTGCCCAGAGGCAATTAGGGAAAGGAGGGAAGAAGCAACATGCATCTAGACATCCTGAGTTCTACAACCACCACTCAAATCAGGAAATTGAGAAAGCAATGACCGACTATGACAAAGAAAATGTGGGGGTGATTTTCACTAGAAACAACTTAAGTGGCTGTGATGCTGCACATGTGGAGTCCAAAATTTAATACGTATCTTTATTAACACTTTTGCCACCCTGGCGGACCACCAGCAGCAGTACACCACAAGGTAGGCTGCGCGTTGCCTGTGAGCGGATAACCACACTTCAATGTTTATACTCTTTACAGTTTTCTCACCTCAGCTTTCATGTTACGTCATTCATTTTGGTATCAAATTGTTTGCAATAGAATGCTTTAAAGGGATATATATGCATATAAAGTCAAGTAACATTACCAATAAAATAAAAGTACATTGCCATGTGGAAAAAACCAGTGTTGAAATGCCATTTTCTGGGTGAGACCCGGAGGCTCCTCAAAACTATCTAGGCTGATATGGATATATTAGACTGGCATCAGTCAATGTGCATGGAGTTCTATGCCTACCGGGGACCACGAGCTAAAACCTGGTCCCCTTAGAGAGGCACGAGGAGGAATTGCCTATAGAAAACTTCCATGTGGTTGGAAGCATTCCATGTCTGCCATCGACCGGGTCTGGCACCAAAGCAAACCCCCAATTCTGGTTGAAATATTGCTTCTGAAAACCAAACTAGTGGACAGAACTCCCCAAATTAAAACTAGCAAACTATTATGACATCATCACGTCACTGCGCCGTTGTCTGTGCACTCCCCCAAAGGAGGGGAAAGGGGGAGTCCCAAACCCCTCACGCCAACTACCCACACCTTCAGTTCTCGGCTGATGTGATTGAGGCTTGGTCGTGTGACTCCAACTCCTGTTTCTTGTCTCAGGGCTGTGCCTTGTGTTTAGTACTGTCTTCAGGCTGGTACGTAAGCTGGGAGTAATATTTCACAGGAGAGAAGCTGAAACTGAACCTCGCCAAGGCAAAAAGTTTAAATGAGAGCAGGAATGAAGAAGAAATAAATTCTTTTTTCCTACAAAGCGATAGGGGTAGGCAGACCAGTAAAGTGGTACGTAAAGGCAAACCAACAAAATCAATAGAGAGAGGGGAAGTGAAGAATAAGGAGAGGGGGAACAAGTTCCTGAAGATTGCATACACCAACATAGATGGAGTGAGATCGAAGATACTGGAGTTAAGTGATGTAATACAGCTGCAGACACAAGACATTGTTGCACTCACGGAGACAAAACTTGAAGATGTTATTTTAAATTAGGTCGTATTCCCAAGGGGCTACTCAATTTGGAGACGGGACAGAAAAATTAGGAAAGGCGGTGGCGTTGCTGTGCTGGTGAAAGAACACCTAAAGGTGAAAGAAATAGTGACTGCCAATCCACAAGAAGTTGACATAATAGTACTAGAGATCTGCCATGAGGATGATAAACTAATGAACATAAATGCATATAGTCCACCGCCAAGCAGCACATGGTCAAAGGAGGAGCTAGATAGTAAGCGCAAAGGTCTTATAACAATAATGAGAGAGATTATAGTGAGAGTGGATAACGATAGATCATGACTGTTGATAGTCGGTGACTTCAACTTGAAATCCATAGACTGGGAAGCATATGAAGCTAAAACAGAAGATTTTTGAACCTGTAGATTTGTAGACCTCATCCTGAAAACATTCTTGTATCAATATGTTAAACAAGCTACGAGGATGAGGGAAGGGGACATTCCCTCCATGCTAGATTTGATATTTACCAGGAAGGAGGAAGAGATATTTGACATTCAGTACCTTCCTCCCTTGGGTAAAAGTGACCATGTCTTTTTGGGAATAAAGTATGCAATGCGTTATAATCTGGAAGAAAATAAGGAGGTTGAAGCAGTTGAAAAAACTGACTTCAGGAGAGGACATTATGGTCACCTTAGAAATTTTTTTAGTGAGTATAATTGGACAGACTTGATGCTAGACAAGAAAGTGAAAGAGATGTATGTCAAGTTTTGTGAAATATATGATAAAGGCACAAACAAATTTATACCAAAACAGAGATGCAGAATTAGGAAACAGGATTGGTTCAATAGAAATTGCGAGAGGGGCCAGAGACCAAAAGACACAAAAATGGAATCAATACAGGAAGAGGCCAAACCCCCAAACATACCAGCGATACAAAGATCAAAGATGCGAGAAACAACTACACGGCAGTTAGGAGAAAATCAGAAAGAAATTTTGAAAAAGGGATTGCAGACAAATGTAAAACAGAACCAGGTCTATTCTATAAATTCATAAACAACAAATTGCAGGTAAAGGATAATATTCAGATGTTGAAAATGGGAAATAGATTCACAGAAAATGAAAAGGAAATGTGTAAAACACTAAACGAAAAGTTCCAAAGTGTGTTTATACAAAATGAAATCTTTAGGGAACCAGACACAATAAGAATTCCAGGGAACAACATAGAGCACATAGAGGTGTCTAGAGATGAAGTGGAAAAAATGCTCAAGGAGCTAAGTAAGAACAAAGCAGTTAGTCCAGATGGAGTTTCACCATGGGTTCTGAGAGAATGTGCACCTGAGCTCAGCATTCCACTTCAGCTGATTTTTCAGGCATCCCTGTGTACAGGAGTTGTAGCTGATGTGTGGAAAAAGGCTACGTAACATAGTTCCAATCAACAAAAGTGGAAACACGGAAGACCCCTTTAATTATAGACCTGTATCATTGACAAGTGTAATAGTCAAAATATTGGAAAAATAATTAAAACTAAATGGGGTAGAATACTTGGAGGAAAACGATATAATATCAAACAGACAGTATGGTTTTCGATCTGGAAGATCCTGTGTAAAGAACTTGCTCAGATTTATGATCGAGCCACAGAGATTTTACAGGAAAGAGATGGTTGGGTTGACTGCATCTATCTGGACCTAATAAAGGCTTTCGACAGAGTTCCCCATAAGAGGTTGTTCTGGAAACTGGAACATATTGGAGGGGTGACAGGTAAGCTTCTAACATGGATGAAAAATTTCCTAACTGACAGAAAAATCAGGGCCGTAATCAGAGGCAAGGTATCAGATTGGAGGAATGTTACGAGTGGAGTACCACAGGGTTCAGTTCTTGCACCGGTAATGTTCATTGTCTACATAAACGATCTACCAGTGGGAATACAGAATTACATGAACATGTTTGCTGATGATGCTAAGATAATAGGAAGGATAAGAAACCTTGATGATTGTCATGCCCTTCAAGAAGACCTGGACAAAATAAGTATATGGGCAACACTTGGCAAATGAAATTTTTTGTGAATAAATGCTGTTATGGAATGTGGAATTGGAGAACATAGACCCCACACAACCTATAAATTATGTGAGAAATCTTTAAAGAATTCTGACAAAGAAAGGGATCTAGGGGTTATCTTGAGGTTATCTTGAGATGATTTCGGGGCTTTAGTGTCCCCGCGGCCCGGTCCGCGACCAGGCCTCCACCCCCAGGAAGCAGCCCGTGACAGCTGACTAACACCCAGGTACCTATTTTACTGCTAGGTAACAGGGGCATAGGGTGAAAGAAACTCTGCCCATTGTTTCTTGCCGGCGCCTGGGATCGAACCCAGGACCACAGGATCACAAGTCCAGCGTGCTGTCCGCTCGGCCGACCCGGCTCGCTCCGACCGGATCGGGGTGGTGCTAGATAGAAAACTGTCACCTGAGGACCACATTAAGAACATTATGCGAGGAGCCTATGCTACACTTTCTAACCTCAGAATTGCTTTTAAATACATGGATGGAGAAATACTAAAGAAATTGTTCACGACTTTTATTAGACCAAAGCTGGAATATGCAGTGGTTATATGGTGCCCATATCTTAAGAAGCACATCAACAAAGTGGAAAAGGTGCAACGACATGCCACAAAGTGGCTCCCAGAACTGAAGGGCAAGAGCTACGAGGAGAGGTTAGAGGCATTAAATATGCAAAAACTAGAAGATAGAAGAAAAAGAGGCGATATGATCACTACGTTCAAAATATTAACAGGAATCGATAAAATTGATAGGGAAGAATTCCTGAGACCCGGAACTTCAAGAACAAGAGGTCATAGATTTAAACTAACGAAACAAAGC